GGGAACCCATACTGGCTTCTATATGTGAGTTTTTGTTTTTTCTTTTATTGGAAAGCCTTTCTCTCTTTTTTTCCTTCTTTTTTCTTATCAGTCTATATCATGCTTTGAGGAATTTTTTTTTTTTTTTACCTCCTCCCCTTCCCGCTTCTGAGGGAAAGCAGCACTTACTTATCTTCCAAGGCCCAGCTTCCTTGTGTCTTCCTTTATGAAGCCCCTGTTGACACACCTGCCACCTGCCACCAGGTAAACTTGATCACTCCCTTTTTTGTGGCTCTACTGTACCCTGAAAGCTTCCACCTTAGTAACCATAATTTTTATTGCGCTAATATGTTTATTCAGGCTAATCAGGTCACTGTATGGCTGATGACACAGGAAATGAATTCCTAAGTGCCTACCATGTGCTACGCGGGGCACACAAAGCAGCATCGCTGTTCACACCTGGAATGTTCTTTGCTCATGCACTGCCTATTACCTTTAGTTTTTCTCAAATGCCATCTTTTCCAAAAAACTTTTCTAAATCATTCCCAGAAGTATGAAAATCCTATCTTCCTTAGATGTAGAGGTACCTGCATTTCTATTTAACATATTTCATATTGCCTTGTATTACAGTTATAATTATCTACTTGTATTATAGTGATAATAATTATAATTATTTACTCCTCTCCTCCCCCAGAGAACTGTAAATTTCTTGAGAGCAAAAGTAGTATTTTATTTATTTATTTTTGTTGTTCCCCCCACAGTGCCCAGTGCCTTGCTCTTTGGGAGCTCATTATCTAGAGGAGAAGGTCATAAAATACATATTTAAAATATAATCTTAACTTCAGGGTTGGAGACCTATACAGGGCATCATGAAAGCACTAAGAAGAAGTACTTCAACCTCTGTGGTAGGGGGTTTTGTTTGGCAGAAGGCGCCCTAGAGATTTTGGTGACTTAGGAGTCACCAATGTAATTATCTTAAACATCCCAATTTCAGCATAAGTCAGTTTGATGTTGAATTGATGTAGGGCCTCAGGCATAATTGACATGGTCTGAGAGAGGAGAAGAGAGCTGAGGTCTATGTTCCTTAGAGAAGATGGGGATTTTCTATGGACAAAGGCTTTTTCATTCGGCCATGAAGTTGTGAGGGCCCTTGTTAGGGATAGGGCAACTAGGAAATTTCCAAGGTGAAGATATGGGCACTGTACCAGACTGTTTGGTTTCTTTGCAGACCAGAGAGGTACTTTGTTTCTTCTTTGAAAAAAAGATAAAGGCAAAAACAGCGTTTGAGCAAATAAAAATTACCCTTGAACTCACCTTTACCTGATGGGCTACTATGTCTGCTTTTGATAATGCCTAAATCTTTCTTCTAGGAAATGGCACATGCTACCTGTACTCATATTTAATTGGTCAAAGAAGTCACATGGCCAAGCAGTGAAGGGGCAGCAAATCATAGAGACAACGATGTCCTCTCCAATGACTAATTGGAGCCCTACTCATTTGTTTCTGAAGATAAAAGACCAAGAGAGGTCAAACAAAAAGGAGACTTATAAATGTAACTTTAAGCAGGCGAAATAAAAGATTATTCAGCTGAAAAAAGTAATTTAAAAGAAAGAATTAAATTTTTTATCAAATAGTTTGAAATCTTCATAAATCAAAATATATATAATGAAGAAAATTTTGCTGTCTTTCCTGACAAAACAAAAACTAGACCTAAGGAACTGAACAACCATAGGACAAAGTGCCTTACTTGAGACATAAGCCTAGAGAAGTGCATATTTTTAGTGTATCTCAATCGGTTTTGGCAGTCATAGAAGATATTTAAGGGAGCAAATAAATGGACCTGCAACAAGCACTTCCGTGATTGGGAGTCACTGATCACACCTGGAATGTTATTTGCTCACATACTGCCCATCCAAACTCTACCCATTTCCTTCAGTTTGCCTCAAGTGCCATCTTTTCCAAGAAACTTTCTGAATCATTCCCATTAGTATGGAAATCCCATCTTCCTTAGATGTAGTGGTACCTGCATTTCTATTTGACATATTAATATTGCATGTTGCCTTGTATCATAGTTAACTATTTACTCTTCTCCTCCCCCACAGAACCGTGAAGTCTTTAAGAAGCAGTATTGTATTTTTACTTTTGGTTCTCCCACAGTGCCTAGTACAGAGCAGTGCACATGAAGGAACCCAATTCATTAGTGTTGAAGTTCATGAATTATAGTTTTTATAGGAGCCATGTGACATGCATATGTTAGCTGTACCCTTGAGGTGATCCCATAGCACAAGGAGCACATAAGAGGAGGTCATCTTTATGATGACTCTAGGACCTAGACTCAGGAATACAGTAAGAAAGCCTTGGTATGGTAGACAAGCAGTGAGAAAGAGAGGAGAGGGCTGTCTAAGTTCTGGACTCTGGGACACGACCTTAGTACTTTGGTTCCTCTGACATCTAGATTAGTTTGTCTCTTTTATATATTTCTATTTATAATTCCTCAGTATCAAATGGTAGTTATATAGGTCTTAGTTTTAATAAATTGTTCTACGAATATGGTTTGGCCTTAGTTATGCAAGTATCAAAAGCAAGCAGTATAAAGTTAATTTAAGGGATCAAATATAATATTAGGCTGAAAGCCTATTAAAATTATAGAGAAATATGTGGAGGACTTATGTTCGTAATATAGAGTATGAATATTTTTAGATTCTCTGGCATTGAATTTAGATGTGCTTGTTCTATTTTGTAAACCGAAGAATTGGCCTATATCTTTAATCTGTGTTTAGATTTTTTTTAGTGACAGACAATAATAACTAGAAATAGAAATTCCATCTTTGGCGGTAATATAGTGCAGGGACCTGAGAAGAGAAGGTCTTAAGGTGCTGTTAATTAGCAAAAATCTGAAGCCCACGGTCTCAAAGCAATTAAGGCTGTTAATTGAATATTTGGATGCCCAGAGGAATGGCTCATATGTGGCAGGACAGGGAACCCTAGGCTTGCATACAGGAGTTACATTCTATAAATGATCCTGAACAATTCAGAAAGAGCAAATATGGGCCAATGTACGTTTGTCTAGTAGCCAACTGCAATTTTGAATAGTAATACATTGCTGGCTATATGCAAAATTGTCTTTTTACTGTAAAGTTAAACACTAACAATTCGATCTTTCAGCCTATCTTTTGTAAATATGGCACACCATTCATAGAAATTTCAGATTTTTTTTTTACCATGGTGATTGTCCTCTGGTTTGATATATATGTTTATGATTCAACTGATACTTTAAATGCAGTTGGTAGTCACACATGGCTGCAGTGTCACACTTAGGCACATTTGGGGGACAGAGGAGAGTGGACACTGCTGATGAGCTCAGAGTGGCAGTGATTTTTACTATCCAAGTCTTTCATAGCCTTTGTATGGGCTTAATTAGCTGTGGCATTTGATTAGCCTGTGAACATACTTCTTAAAAGAAACTTTAAACAAATGGAAGATTACAAAAGAATTTTCAAGGAAGAAAAAAATAAATGTTCCTTTTAGGAGACTTTCAGTGAAAAGTGGTTAATATTTTCAGTAGTGCCTATTATTTTTCATAGCTCTGGTTTGGGGTAGGCTTCTGCCTCTGCCAGTCCCAGGCTTGCAAAGATGCAAACGAGTGTCCACTCAAGAACAGCCACAATGCAGTGAGTGAAGAATGAATTTAGTTTCTCACACTGGTTCAGTCCTCTGAACAGTGTGATCAACTTTCTGGTCTCTGTGTTAATGAAAAGAGAAATTATATGAATGCTTAAAATCCACCGGTTATCCTCCAAGCTAAAGTTGGCCAGTAGTTTTCCATCTATTTGGTTAAACCTTCCAGAGAGTTGCAGAATTGAGTGAGTTGAGGGTTCCCCCCACTTCTTTCCATCTCAGTGTGGTTTCTGGACAGTTTGTAATAGCTTTAGCTTTTTAAAAAGTCTATGAAGTGGCTTTTAAAAAAAGTGGAGGTGCTGAGCCGGCAGTAAAGGATATGAGCACAGAACCTAAAAATTCCCAAACGGATAATTTCCATCCTTATTTGAGGAATTATGCATTCATAAGGTTGGTGTGATTTAGGAACAGGACATTCAAACTGCAAATAGACACCTTCATATATGACCAGAGCATATAAAAAACAAATTGTACTTAAGGTCCTAACCCGCGTTTATTGTGCACATATATCTTCTAAAAATATGGAGTTAACCTACTTAGGGGTTACTGACCAGGGCTTTTAAAAGGTGCAGGAATAGAGGGCTGAGGCCATTAACAATAGACTGGGAAGCATGTTTAAGAGGTAACAATGCCACCTCTTTGGATCAGAAGAGTTCCTGTTTGTTATGCAATGTGTGCACTTCATTGTTTACACGATTTCACTAGGTGACTCGGAGCTGTGTACACAGCCAGGTGAGCCTGCAGCAGCGCCCCAGACTCTGAAACTAACACTAACACCCTCTGTCTACTGCCTTCTGTTAGCCCTGCCTTTGAAGTAATATCACTTTCCGGAAAAAAAAAAAAAAAAAAATTCCCTAAATCATATCTACTTCCCTGGATTACAACGCTTTTTTTTTTTTTTTCATAAACGTTTTTAGGAATTAATTAGAAGTTTCTTGGAAAAATTTCCATACTCGTTTCCACTGTGCTGAACTGACGATTTACAAAGTAACTACTCAGAAGATACTAAGCAGCTTCGGCTGGAGAGCCTCTTTTTACTGTTACGGGGTCTCCCAGCCTTCTTTCTCCTACCCATGGCAGCCCATCTCTCTCCTCCAGGAGCCCCTTCTTTTCGGTATTTCCAGGATTACGGATGAAAATAAACAGGGGAGCAGCCCCTGGCCTAGGCCAGGCACACAGGGGTCCCCAGGGCTGACCTTGGAGACCTGCGGGCTTCTGGGAGGAACGCGCGGGAGGCCCAGCAGGAGTCGCCGGCGCCAGGAAGCGCCAGGGGCGGCGGGGCGACCCCGCGGAAAGGGCGGGCAGGGATGCGTCGACTGTTTCCGTGACTTGGGACCCGTCGCCCGGTTCTAGCTGTCGGCTCCCCTGGTCCCAGCGGCCGCGGAGAGAAGGGGGCGGATCCTCGCGTGCCAGACACGCCCAGGCCGGGTTTTAAATTCGCCAGGCGCTCGCTCCCCGAGCCGCCGCCGCTCCCTCGCTCCGCCGAGGCCTCCGGACGCGCTCCCCGCGCCGGCCTCCGCAACACTCGGGCCGAACGCCCGCCCGCTCGCACTCACACCGCGGTTCGCACCCGCACGCGCGCTCGCACCCGCACTGCCGCTCCCGCGCGCTCCGCTCCCGCTCCAGCCCCGCGCCCCGCGGAGGCGCAGGACCGCCGCCGAGAGCGCAGAGGGGCGCCGCGGCCTTCCCATGGCGGACCTGAGCTTCATCGAGGATACCGTAGCCTTCCCCGAGAAGGAAGACGATGAGGAGGAAGAGGAGGAGGGTGTGGAGTGGGGCTACGAGGAAGGTAAGCGGCCGCGAGTCGCGGTGTCCGGGGTCCCGGGGCGGCGTCCGTGTCTCGCCGAGCGTGGGACTCGTGTCCTGCCGCTGCCGCGCGCTCCGACGACCCGCACGACCCTTCTTTCCCACGGGGGTCTCCGCCCCTTTTCCTCTCCCCTGGCGCGTTTCGGGGCGGGAGGCGTGCTCGCCGCCTGCGTTCTCCCGCCGCCTGCGCTCGCTCACGGGAGCCTTCCGCGGGGCTGGCGTTCGCACCTGCTGCGGTCCGGAGGGCGGGCCAGCCTCCAAGCCGTGGCTGTACCTTTTGTCTTCTGAGGAGCCAAGAAGAGCAGCGGCAGCTTCTACTCAACGCTTGAGGAAGACAGTGTTAACAATCCGTTTTTGGCTTGAAGACTTTGGGGAGAAAGTGTTTCTGCCTCTGGTCTTTTCGTGAAGCTTTCTAGCAACGCTCAGGTCTTTCTAAAACACGTCCTAAATTTCAGACTCAATCACTGGGTTTGGCCAGAAGCGGTTGACTTTCTGAAAAACTTGAGATTCCTAATGTATTCCTGAAGACCTAGGGCTCGTGTTAGAGCCAACCAGTAGTGCTGATGTTTACTACATATGTTGAAACCAATATAGAATATATAATTTTAATTATAAAAGATTTGGAAAGAGTATGTGAATATGTATGTGTGTAGGTGTATACATATGCACACTTTAAAATACTGCACTTGGGTTTCTGATAACGGCGTTTATTCACTAGCATGAGAGTTAGGGTTTTCAGCTGTCACTAAATGTTGAAAGTTACAGCTGTTTCCCAAGTACTGAACGTAATTGAACTAATGAGCAGAGGAAATTGTTCCGGTATTCTTTTTTCTAATCACTTAAAGATGACCCAGATTTCCCAGTCATAAATTATTATGTCTTTGTTGACAAATACAAATACAATATTTTGTTAGTCCGGGATTTTGTATGTGGTATTTGATAATATCAGATCATTCAAATAATGAATGCAAAAACACACGGATTTATCATAGTTGATCTCTGTAATCATTGTATCATTACTCTCTTCATAATGTCAAGGATCATTAGTGTCTACACTAGTTTTTACATGTTAAATTTTACTGTACCATATTTTTTAACCTGTTTTTAATTTATTTCATTTTGTCCTTAGGTGTTGAGTGGGGTCTGGTGTTTCCTGATGCTAATGGAGAATACCAGTCTCCTATTAACCTAAACTCGAGAGAGGCTAGGTATGACCCCTCACTGCTGGATGTCCGCCTCTCCCCAAATTATGTGGTCTGCCGAGACTGTGAAGTCACCAACGATGGACATACAATTCAGGTTATCCTGAAGTCAAAATCAGGTATCTTAGAAAACATGTGTATGTGCTCTTTTAAACTAGAAGTCAGCATAGAGTTATTGAAATATGATTTAACTGATATAATTTAAAAGGTACAACTGACGTATCTCTATTTTCAGGATACCTTTGAACTATAATATAAAGCATTTTGGGGAATTACCTTCTGAAACAATTTTGAAAGGATGAAAGCGTGAAATGATGAAGATTATCAGTTGGTTGTTCTGCTTCTTACGATGCTACTGGAACAACCTTAGTTTGATCATCTTATACCTTGTGAAATATGAGGACAGGTACATGCAGGTGCACTGATATGAATTTTGTCCCAAAATTGTTGATTAGTTTAAATCACTTATCTAAGTTTAAGCTAATCATAATTCTCTGTCTTGCTACTTTGTGAAACCAAAGAATAGAATTTATTGACATAATATGGCATTCCAGGTAGACTTCTCAGGTGAATTTTCTCTACTGTATTAATATGCCCAAAATAATTTTAACTGATAACAATAAAAAACACCCTCTAAACTCAGCCAGAGATTTAAATGGTGAATAAACCTCTTTATTTATTTATTTATTTATTTATTTATTCATTTATTTACGTTCCATCCTGTGAAACCTCCCCTACCCCTTGCAAACCTATTTGAGATGGATCTGAAATGTTCTGTGGAAAAGGTGTTAAGTAATTACCAAGGAAATAAGTTGTTGGCTTTCTTGTAGGAAAGAGGAAATCAGATTAAAAAAAAGTAGCATTAATAGCATGCATTTCATGGTGAATAATAACTATCTTTTGGGAAAAATTAAAGTATGTAGAAATATTAGGACATACTTGATAAATAGAGACTGTGCTCAAAACTTAATTCCAAGTCGAGAAAGCTGATATTTCACACTATAAAATCTTTAGTTTTATTATTAAGCAAGGCAGTGATTGATTTCCAACTATGGACTTATTTTATTCATTGTAAATGTTTCTAAGCTTTAATTTAGAATCCATGAGATAGTCATAGATTTACATAGTCTTCCTCACTGTTCTGAGTTTAGTCCACATGTGAGCATTACCCAGAAGAGTTTCTGGGTTTATGTGTACTTAGACTCAGTTTAAGATGTAAATTTCAACTTGAATTACAATTTTTTGGGGGATGTGGGTTTAGCATTGATGGGTCATTATGTATTATTTTTTAAAGGAGTTTGTAAAATTATTGAATACTGACTGTTCTGGCATATAAAAAGCAATTTAAGGAAGTACATGTATGTTGATATGTTGAGGTGCCTTTGAACTTCCAGAAATAAATGTTTATATATCCACACAGCAAAAATACATTTCATATCAGGTGCTATGATGAGTGTTGGTGCATACAAATGGATAAGGCAGTTCTTGAGGATTCATAGTCTAGTGGAAACCCAGTTTTTTAAGGTACTGGTGTACACATGACGTGGCAAGTGTTACAGAGGTTTGTGGGAGCAGAGAGGAATGACTGAGTACATACACTCCACTGTGTCCGTGTGTGCCCACTCTGCTCTGAGATCAGATTTACTTCCATCATACTGAATTTACCATTTTCTTCCGCTACCTTCTCAGACACTCACAATTTTCTTTCATCTTCTGCCTCACTCTAAAACAGAGACTGTGGATCAACTTCTGGGCCCTCTCACCATGAAGTGTGTTTCTTCCTCAACTAGCCTTTTGTGCTTCTCTTTTCCTCCTCCTTGCACTCCTGCCCACTGAAGAAATGCCTGCATTTCTGTCTAGGCCTGATTTGGGTACACATGATCCAGAGCCTTTTCTTCCTGCCTCCCTGGTGACCTTCCTTCTTCAGAGGCCCCTTCTCCTCTCTATCATTGTAATAATTTCCTCCTTATTGTTCCTTCCCTTCCAATATTTCTGCAAACTCAAGTAACCAAAATACCACGGCTTGAGTAGGTGGTTTTTCCCTTAGGATATTTAAGCTCCTCAGAGGAATAGTTTGTAAGCTCTAAATACCCTGTCATTTGTTTATTTAAATAAGGTTTTATCTTTATGGAAATGGAATATGAACATAATTAAAATGGCTGAATAGTACTCTTTCTGTCTCTGGTTATACCCTATTCTTGCCCACCTATGACTGCTGTTCCCTAGTGACAAGTACTTTGAAACTTTCTGTTTCTCCTGTGGTGATCTCCAAGAATGCAAGACTATACTAAGGCTTTCATGCTTTGATATGTAAGCTATGTATGAACCCTCTACTATAAAAGATGAGGCCAGTTTTCCTTTTTTTTTTCTGAGACAGAATCTCATCCTGTCACCCTGGCTGAAGTTCAATGGTGCCATCTCAGTTCACTGCAATCTCTGCCTTCTGGGTTCAAGAAATTCTCATGCCTCAGTCTCTTGAGTGACTGGGATTACAGGCGCCTACCACCTCGTCCAGCTTATTTTTGTATTTTTGGTAGTGGTGGGGTTTCACCATGTTGGTCAGGCTGGTTTCGAACTCCTGACCTTAGGTGATCCACCTGCCTCGGCCTCCCAAAGTACTAGGATGACAGGCATGAGCCACAGCGCCCAGCTGAGGCCAGTTTTCTTATTACTGTCTTTCTTATGATTTCACTCTCTTATTCTTGTATACTTAAATTAATTTTTAAAATCTGTATAGATTTAGGGTTTGCAAATGCGGTTTTGTTACTTGGATATGTTGCATAGTGGTGGAGTCTGGGCTTTTAGCGTAACTGTCACCCAAATAGTGTACATTCTATCCGTTAAGTAATTTCTCATGCCTCATTCCCTTGGAGTCTACTTAATTTAATTTCTATTTAAATTAATGCTCAGCATTTTTATTACTGCAACTACAACTATTGTTTCCAGCTGAGATTATATTTGTCTCACTTATTAAACAATGTTTTGTATTTTCCTGGAGTTAATGCATTTTATTAATTGAATTTTTTGTTTTGTTTATCTGTCACTAATTTCATTTCCAAACTCTCCGACATATGATGGATCTTCTCTTAGGACATTCACGTGCAACCTCCTTCCCTCCCTCGTTCTTCCTCGTTCTTTCTTTTTCCCTGTGGAGGATGCTCTTCCTTTCTGCTCTCCAGGCCTCCTTACAGCCTCCTCCTGCAGCTCCTTGGACCTTACGCCTGGGAAGTCTCCGTGTTTGTCTCTTGTGTTGGATTGGATTGTTTCCTGGATGCCATGGCATGCTCTTTTTTGGAGTTGCTCCCTCATCTCAGGGAATTTCTTGGTTTATTCACTTCTATAGTTAGTCTTCCAGGAACTTGAAAAGGGACAAGTGAGGGCTGCATGCTTTGACGCCTGTGTAGTGTTTTTATTATACTTCACACTTGATTGAAGTTAGCCTGGAGTAGCAGTCTGGGTTGGAAGTATTCTTGACATTGTTTGATGTTTGACATCATGACTGTATTGCTTCCAACTTCCATTGTTGCAGTTGAAAGATCTAGTGCCCCTTCTCAACCCCCTCCATGTGTCTTTTCTCTTTTTTCCTTTCTGGAACCTTTTTCAGTGTTCTCTTGACTGCTGTTGTTTTGAAATGTTACAACCATATGCCTTGGTGAGATTGTTTCTTCACTGTGTGCTAGACGCTTGGTAGGTCTTTTTCAATCAAGATGATTGTGTCTTTCATTTACCAGAAGATTTCTTACGTTTCTCATATTATTTTATTGATAGATTTCATATTTTTATTCCCCCCCCCCTTTTGGTAACTACCACTTTCTTCTCTTTCTCTTCTACTTTCTAGTAGATTTCCTCATTTTTTAATTGTTCTGTCTTTTCTTTTTTTAACTATAGATTGGAATGTATTTCTTTTATTTTCTGTATCTTATACTTTGACTTTTTAAAAAAATTTATATTTGATTGCACTTTAGGTTCTGGGATACATGTGCAGAACATGCAGGATTGCTGCACAGGTACATATATGGCAATGTGGTTTGCTGCCTCCATCTCCCTGTCACCTATATCTGGCATTTCTCCCCATGTTATCCCTCCCTAGTCTCCCTACCCCCCGCTGTCCCTCCCCTATTTCCCCACAACAGACCCCAGTGTGTGATACTCCCCTCCCTGTGTCCCTGTGTTCTCATTGTTCAACACCTGCCTGTGAGTAAGAACATGTGGTGTTTGTTTTTCTGTTCTTGAATCAGTTTGCTGAGAATAATGGTTTCCAGATTCATCCATGTCCCCACAAAGGACATAAACTCATTGTTTTTTATGGCTGCATAGTATTCCATAGTGTCTATACCTAGTTTATTGAGAGTTTTTAGCATAAAGGGCTGTTGAATTTTGTTGAAGGCCTTCTCTGAATCTATTTAGATAATCATGTGGTTTTTGTCTTTGGTTCTGTTTATGCGGTGAATTACGTTTATAGACTTGCGTATGTTGAGCCAGCTTTGCATCCCGGGATGAAACCTACTTGATTGTGATGGATAAGCTTTTTGATGTGCTCTTGCAATGGGTTTGCCAGTATTTTATTGAAGATTTTTGCGTCTATATCCATCATGGATATTGGCCTGAAGTTTTCTTTTTTTGTTGAGTCTCTGCCAGGTTTTGGTATCAGGATGATGTTGGTTTCAGAAAATGATGTGGGAAGGATTTCCTCCTTTTGGATTGTTTGGAATAGTTTCAGAAGGAGTGGTACCAACTCCTCTTTGTATGTCTGGTAGAATTCGGCTGTGAATCCATCTGGACCTGGGCTTTTTTTGGTAGATAGGCTATTAATTGCTGCCTCAACTTCAGCCCTTGTTATTAGTCTATTCAGGGCTTCAACTTGTTTCTGGTTTAGGCTTGGGAGGGTGCAAGTGTCCAGGAATTTATCCATTTCTTCCAGGTTTACTGGTTTATGTGCATAGAATTGTTTGTAGTAATCTCTGATGGTAGTTTGTATTTCTGTGGAATCAGTGGTGGTATCCCCTTTATCGTTTTTTTAATTGCATCTATTTGATTATTCTCTCTTTTCTTTTTTATTAATCTGGCTAGTGGTCTATTTTGTCGATCTTTTCAAAAAACCAGCTTCTGGATTTATTGA